CTCACTCCCTCTTGTGTCCAGAGCAAAACGCATCCATGCCTCTACAATACTCATTTTCAAAAGAATCTATACCACACCTGCCGCCTACGGCCAGGCTGACCTGCCGACGCGCATCGGACTAAAAGGCAAAGACGATGTTGAACAACATGGAAGGAATATGAGGGTCACCAAAACTAAAAGTGCTGCCATGGAAATTTGATTGTGTGTGCCTAAAGCTTTAAAAAGAACAGAAGACAGCGTATTATGAATTTTATTATTAATATTGTGCAGCAATCCCCCCCCCCCTCATGGGTCATGATAATGCTGGGAGGCCACGTCGAACGGGCATGGCTGAGCCTGTCAGAGTTCCACAAGTTGTTCTTCCATTGTTTGATTCCAAGACATACAAACAGCTGCCTTGAAACTCAGTGTCACTTCCACCTTTTTGTTTGCAGAGGTGCAGTGCCAGAGATAGTTGGTAATCCGGTCATAGATGCTCGTAACATTGCTTCAATAAGACGATTCCTTCACGAGGGCCGACCAGAAATAAAAACCGGTTTGATTTTTATCTGACCATCGGGAGGTGGTCGTGACAGGTTAATCAGGGTTTGATTCCCCGAAGGGGAGATGAGCAACTTTTTTTTTCTTTTTAAAAAAATGAAAAATCAAGTCAGTCATCTAAAGACATACTGAAACCTGTAATATACTTTAAATCATTTTAAAATGAATCACTTTTATTGCACGATTGTTAATTGCTTATGTTCAAAACTGTTTTTCTTCCATTAAGGTGAAGCAGACTGTCAGACATGGGATTTGAAGGAAGGGAAATCCTGGGTTTTAAGAACTGGAAGGTGATTCCCGAGAGAAGAAATGTCTTCAAGATTCAACAGGTCCAGCTGTCTTTATTTAAGCTCTTAGGATCATCCTCTGGATGAACGGGATTCTTAAAAGCTTTAGAGGCTGAATCCATGATGTCCAGGTCAGACTGTAACGTAGTTACTTCAGCATCAAGTTTGTTTTGGTTTTGATCATTAATTCTCCTGTCATTTCAGATCTGGCCTTTCCCTGTTATGCAATTACTCATTCCCCCTCACCTGCTTTTCTCCGCCCACCTCCTCACCTGCTGCTCATTAACTCATTTGGCCTCCAGTATTAATACCACTCCCTTTCCACTTTGTCCCCTGCCAGATTGTCTTGTGTCATTCCGTTCCAAGCATTACAGCGTTCTCTTGTTCTGCCTGCCCGTTTTGACCTCTCGTTTGCCTCCCTGGATTTTGGATACCTGCCTGCCCCTTGTCGGATTTGTTTGCCTCTTCAACTGATCTCCTGGTTTTGACCCCTGCCTGTTTCTTGGACTGAGTAAAGCGTTTTTCCCACAATATTTGCCTGTTTGCCTTGTCGTGCTTTTGGGTTCTCTGTTGCCCGGACCAGTGGTCGTGACACAGACAGAACTGAGGCACCGTTGGATGGTGAAGTAAAGCCTCCACCAGCAGCTTACCAGATACTGCTTCAGGAATCCACTCTGACGAGACTCCCACATCTAGGTGATGGGATGTCCCAAAACTCTATAAACTCTATAAACTAGATTCTCAATATTCAAGATCTCTTTATTATCATTTCACAGCACTGTTAAATGAAATTACAAGCAAGACTTGAGCAAAAACTTGCACATGTAAAACAAAACAGAATAAACTAAATATAAACATAAATAAATAGGTATTTCACTTTAGGCATGCATCTGCTGTGGACCAGCTCCTTAATGGTCAGTAGGTGTTCCAATTGTCCATCTAATTGTCCATGGATGGACTGAGGTGGGCCCTCTTCCACCACCACAGGAAGTGCAGTTGCTGGTGAGCCTTTTTATAGGGAGGAGTGCAGGTCCCCGGTAAGGTTGTCAGCCAAATGAACCCCCAGCAGCTTTGGATGGTGAACACGGGGTGCACGGCCTGATTTCTGCTCAAGTAAGTCATCATCTCCTTGGTTTCCTAGATGTTCCGGGCCAAGTTGTTTGTCCTGCAATGTCCTGTTTCTCTGACTGTTTTTAATGACTGACATCAGTGAGATGACCAAAGTGTTCTTTGTTTGATATATGGGAGATGAACAGTCCTCATTGCTCGTCTGTTCAGGTGTGAGGATGAAGATTAAGAATAGAAGAAGAGAGAGGAGGGGGAACTGGAACAGGGAGGTGAGGAGGAGGGAGAGGAGGAACTGGAACGGAGAGGTGAGGAGGACAGAGAGGAGGACCTGGAACAGGGAGGCGCAGAGGAGAGGGCTGGGGCAGGGTATTACTCAGAAGCTCCATCTGAATGGCCTTCAGCACATGAAATGGGGGACTCATTGAGGCAGCCCATGGCTGATAATGGCTTTCAGAAATGTCCTGATGGGCCACATCCAAGATCAGGTGAGAGTAAAAGGCGTCTTTCTAAATGTTTTCGTGTACTATCCAGTCGAGAGAAAGGGGAGCGGGATTGGTTTCTCTACTCCAGAGGTACTAATATGGTCTATTGTTTTGCATGTGAGGTTTTCAGTGAAGCTGGAGGTGTTGACACACGTCTTGTGGCCAGGGATAATAATTGGAAGTGTCTTTTAGAAACACTATGAAAGAAAAACCAGCACGATGAAACCAGTGGTCATCACATTAATGCTTATCTGATGAGGGAAGAACCGGAATCCCGCTGACGTCTGGACAAAACTATTGATAGTGAATTGCAGAGAGCCATTGCTGCTGAAAAGGCCACTGGAGAAGTGTCTGGACTGGAGAGAAGGACTGCACACTCTTCCTTGAGCTCACAGCATTGTATGTCTGGCAGAGCATCTTAAAAAGGCTGCTTCTAAAACACCATCTGTCCTGGTGCACTCAAAATTAATTTTTAGATTCAATATGAGAATGTGCCCTGTGATGGACTGGCGGACTGTCCAGGGTGTACCCCGCCTCTCGCCCGTTGACCACTGGGATAGGCCCCAGTTCCCCCCGCGACCCCATCAGGGAATAAGCGGTAATGATAATGGATAATGAGAATGTGTTTTAGGTCAGATTTGTGTTCTAGTCAAAGCCTTCAAGTACTTTGCAGTGCAACTGGACTGCACACCTGATATTTCAAAGCAAGAGCAGGCCTCAGTTATCATAGGTGGGTTCATACAGATGAGAAGAAGAAGAAGAACACTGTCAATGAGTCTTTTTTGGGGTTAAGTGCTGTGAAGGACACAACTGGGAAAGGCCTAAGATACACTGACAGACTACTGGATAATCTGGGGTTGGTACTGGCTAATTGTAGGGGGCAAAGTTATGAGAATGGCTCTAATATGAGGGGAATCCACAAGCGTGTCCAGAGGCTCTGTTCATCTCCGGCTGTATGTAAAGCCTGACTCTTTTGTTATGTGATGCAACCTGAAGACGTAGCTGAGACAGAAAAATGGTCTCAGAGGCAAAGTCACTGTCTGACAAGATTGTTAGCAGGGATTTCCTTGTGTGCCTCTTCGTTTGGTACGACTTCTTGTCAGAGATCAACTTTGCAAGCAAGGCACTACAAGCAGCCGACGTCTCAATGGACATTAGATTGCTGGGGTTTTTGCTTCAACTCATCCTTGCAGTTGTTGAAAGTAAGCAAAATAGCAACATGTTTCTGCCTGGTTTCAAACCGGGGACCTTTCGTGTGTTAGACGAATGTGATGACCACTACACCACAGAAACTGCTTCCGTCGAAATTTCTCTCAATTACTTTCCATTTTGGAAAAAGACAAATGTGCCACATGAATAAGTGTAAGTGTAAACCATCGTGCTCTATTCCCGGCTCTGAATCTTGAGGCTGAGTGGTCTAGAGCAGTGGTCCCCAAACCCCGGGCTGCGGTCCGGTACCGGTCCGTGGATCAATTGGCACCGGGGCCATATTTTATTGTGTAAATTTTGGGGGTTTTGAAAAATGACCGGATTCTCTCTCTTTTCAGATGGTGATGCTTTCATTATGTTTTTTGGTGATGGTGACAGTGTTTTACAACTGAAAAAAAAAACATTGTCACTGTACACATATTTGGGTAGGATTGGGCATTTTGTGTTGTTTTACTTTTTTGTTATTTTGGATCTCTTGTCCTCTTTCATTTATTTTCGTTGTCTTCCTGTAAAACAAAAACCAGGAATAATCTGGTCTGACCTGTACGCTGACTCTGTTCTTTGCTTCTAACGGAACATTTTTCTAAAAAAGAAATAAAAACACTTCATACTTTAATGAATTTACAAGCATCTGAAAAAGGAAGCAACATGTTTTTAAACACAAATGAGTAGGTATTCAAACTGAAATGCTCTGACGTTGCTGTGCAGTGTGCGTGGATGCTGCTCTGCATCATCTCCTTCTTTCAGTTCGAGAGCATCAGCAGTCTGCTCTGTGCTCAGTCAGCTTCATGGACTGAGTTATGATGCAGATTAGCCTAAAACATCGTTCACTGGACGATGGACATGACTATTGGAAGATGACTCCATTAAAGTTAACACACTGTTTCTGTTGGGTTGTGCTTCCTAATCAGACTAAGGAAACATGACTTAACCAGAAAAAGTATCAATAGAGTTTGTTCAAATTTTCTTTAATTTGTTGACATAGATACAAGAGTTTATAAGATTTTGATTTTAAAGAAAAAAATAATATGTCACTGTGTTGTTCACCTTTGACCTAAAGGTTGTAGCTTTATTCCAGCTCATATTGATAAGAACTTGTATTTTCTCTCTAGACAAAATTGTTTTTAGTTATAATACAGTTAAAATGTGACAAAATAAACCTGAAAAGATTCTTTGTAACCTCATGTGAGCTCTGCTGATGCTTCACTTATTGTGTCTGTCTGAATCAGAGCTGTTAAATCATTTAAAATTTAAAAACGTTCATATTGCACATTTCTAATAATCCACACATCTAAACATGGAGAACATTTGATGGAGGTCAAATGTGAAGAAAAAGCTTCCACAGAAGCATTTCAGCTCCAACTGTTCATGAGATGTAATCATTATCCCAGAGAAGGAAAACCCAGAATAGTAACAGACTTCATCATCACCCTCATCATCATCAGTCTCTCTGAACACAAGCTGCTGCTGCTTTATCCTCTGTGGATCATCAGGACACAGATCTTTTTCTCAGCTGTCATCCTCCTCTTCATCATGACCATCTGCAGAGAGAAGCAGAAAAAGTTGAGATAAATTCCAATATATCAATATTTATATTACAGTAATAGAGTTACACGCATTAGTAGCTGAAAACACTCAGCATTAAAGTACAGACGCTGGTTTGGTTCTTACTTATATCCCAGACATCAGAAGTAAACTATTAT